GCCCCGGAGGAAGGGCGCCCGCCAGGGCCCGCACCGGCGGGGTTCGGCCTCGGGTCTTCCTTCGGGTCACCGGGAGGGGACCGGCTCTCCCGTAGAGCTCGTCCCCTCCGCCGTGCTGGGTAGCGTATTTGACGGCACCGCATCCGAGGCGCCGCGCAGAACGCTGCCCGGCTTCAGTTTTAGCAGTCCGCGTCGGTCAGGACGCACTGCCCCGTCCCGAAGGAGTTTGGCTGAACTGGGTGCAAGCGCCCTGGGCTCACACCCGTGAAACCCACCTTGAAAAGCCTGACAAACTTGAGAGCGGGAACCAAGACCGAGCCAACTAAGAGCAAGCAAAAAAAACCGCTTCATTTCCCACCAACTGCAGATTCGGCGTTGCCAAAACCAGTTACGTTTTCCTTCAAACCCACCTCAGGCTGCGCCAGGGACCTGCTAACAATGAATGCGCTTTGATCCATTTGAAGCCTTTGCCAGTATAAGCTCCAAGTTCTCTCCTTCCGGAGATGTAAACCGGTTTCACCTCAGTCAGTACTCAACACGCTCAAATGTGTCTGTAAAGCGAGCGCTGTGTTTTCTCATACCAAGTTTTATTCTTAAGGCTAGTTTAAGCAGCAATTTTAAATCATTTTAGTGATGCAGCAATTTCAACATCTGCTTACATCTGCAACTCATTAACTTCAAGCCTGCAGCTTCTCTGAAGCTAGTATCGGCAGTAGATTCACAGTCACGTACATCAACGAAGCCTGCAACTCGATAGGCATCTTTTTCTATAGTGCAGACTTACCACGGCATATTATACCGCTTATAATACGCATTTCTTATAATATAAATTTTATTTATACTTACTACTTATATTGCATTTCTCCACAATTCTATCTACTCTTCGTGTTCTTGGTAACTTCTTATAAATCAACTGATTATCAAGCATAACCATTTCAGATTAGACAGTACTTCATGCAACATTTTATTGTAAAAATACTTTAAGATGAGATTTACAGTTCAGACCTCTGTAAGGTTAAGCACATTTTACAAGTGTGTTCCATTCTGAATGAAGCCGTACTTCAAGAATTAAGACAAGAAAATCTGGTCTACTGTAGATTCAGAAATTCATTGTTACCGAAACCATTAAGTGAAACCAACAAATACAGCAAAAGCTGGAGTAAAGCTATTGCTTGGTACTTTTATTCATATGCATGCAGAAGAGTGTAGTCAGTTTTGAAACAGAAGTCCAGACAACTAAGCCTATGCTAACCAGAAAATACTCTAAACTACTGCTAGTTGAACAACTCCGCAAGATAGACATTTAATCATTTAATGGCTGGACACTTTTATGAATGATCTTCTAGGCCCTTCGGCTTCACTGGTGCACTTTTATCTTCTCCATACAGGCAGCTCATTTTGCTCCTGCCTGCAGAGACTTCCTTTCATTAGCCGCTTTTTGTTTTTGCTGCATAATTTCAGAGTCTCTGTGAAGAAAAAAAAGTTGGATTTCAGATACTGGCTCGCTGCTTTTCTAAGTAGAGTCTCCTCCACCTTGTTTTTGCCCTTCAGCAACCCCCATTTCAAGAAGGGAAAAAGATTAGTATAAAAACTTTTCAGTTAGCCATGAGCACACTGTTTCTATTATCCTTTTTTTTTCAGTACAGTACCCCATGAGGTAGACAAGTTACTTGATTAGTAGACCTTATATAATTCTTTTAGTTTTAGAAGTAAAGGACACAATGGATCAAACATCTTCAAGAAAGTATTACACAATCTTTTCCTGTTCATACCAGGCAAAAAGCTGCTCAAAAGAAGTAAAAGCTTTACAGGTCTTACCAAAAATGTATCTGTTTAACAGCAGACACAGTAAAACCTACATCCACGGTTTATGCTCTGGCATGTGAATGGACTGTGAATCAAGGCAAAGTACTTAAATGCTGTTTCAGCCAAGACACTGGATTCTTTCTGACCCATTTTCCCCAACCATTTCACTCAACTGTACTAGATTTTACCTCTGTTTTCTCTGAGAAGCAGACAAGCTATCCTCTTTCCTTTTCCCTTTGTGGGTCTCCTGAGTCTTCTTCAGGTTCTTTTGGCGGGCAAGTTCACGCTGGTTCCCACCTGCAAGGTAATACACAGTTTATACAGGTACTACTACTTTTTCCCCCCCCACAGTTTGCCTGTGTAGAAGTCTATTATAAAGGTGGTAAGGTTTGGCTCAATCTGTAGAGTTGGCACTGCAGTATCTGCTGCAGATGGCAGTATCTTCCATCACAGTCTCCCCCTTCAGTGCACAATGGGAGGCGTGAAAGCCTGTGAGTTCTCACATTTACATTTCTACAGGTCATGTCCAAGAGATGACCAAAATCCATGGGAAACGCAATGCAGTTTCCCATAAAAGACTGAAGGCCGACCATCCCATCAATAGCCCGGGCAAAATGAAGACAGTAACTCATCCAAAGAGGAGCCATCCTCTCTATCTCAAACAGATTCCAGCATCCAATATAGCTTACAAATTAATTTTAGACGGAAAGAACAGCATTAAAATGAGGTCAGACTGAGAGTTTATAAAATTCCTCAAGCTCTTCCCAAGGCTCTTTAAGAAATCAAAAGCAAATGGCTGTAAGTATTTGGAATCCAGAAACATCCACCTGCTTTCAGTCTGTAGTACTGTCATGCAAAATCACCGACGGATTCCATCACATCCCATGGTCAAGCACCATGAACTTTTTAAGCCTTGCTTGTACTTAGTAATAGCAGTTAGGGCCCTTACATGTATTTGTAGAAAGGATACACTTCTGCAGATGCCACTTAGAAGATGACCAGTATAGTTAATACATATGGGAACTTGGGCTTTACTTTTTACTGGATAAAGCCCCCAAAACTATTTAACACAGGATTCATAATGTATTATTGTGCACTCATGCCCCAGAAGCTCAGCTAACGCTATCAAATGCTAAAGTTGCCTTACTCTGGGAACCATGAAAGCAGAGAAGAACACATAGTACACGAGCAGCTGTATGTAGGTTTAATTCGTTTTTGCCCCAAGGCAGCTGACATGTACGCAGTGTAAGGCTACAGCAGCTATGGAGCTTCAGCCCAAGATTTTGTTTACCTACTATATACCACAGAGCCCCCCGCAAAAGAAGTGGGGCTGACAAAGCTGAAGTTAACACATAACCAAAACTCCAGTTCTTCATCAAGACACCGTGTTCAGAATAAAACGACTTACCACTTTCCCAAAACAGGTGTGTGCATATGTCCCTGCACAGGGTGGACAACCCTAATGCTGTTCACATGCGAGGGTATTTTCATGCCATTGAAGGAATTAGCAAACAAGCATTTGGCAAGGTTCCTTCCATGCACTATTACGGGCTTCTGTTCACAGCTTTCTTTCCCATGCATGCTTTTTAGATTTCATTGTAAACCAACGTCTGTTTTTTTTCAATCTTCCTCATTTTATGAGTTTCCCTATGTAGGTGTTCCCTTAACTTGGCAGCAAGGGCACAGTTACAGTTGTTCTACCTACTTTCCTTGTGACGGACTGTTAGTCCATTCAATTAATTACACTCAAACACTATTAAAGAGGTGACCTCAAAAGACTTTTTTATTTGAAATCAAGCGCAGCACTTAAGCATGGCCTTAGCAAGTGCTTAGCTTCACTTTCAACAAAAGAGAAACATTATATATATATATATAAAGACACAAAAACACATCACTGTTGCCAGTATAGAGGACACCTTCAGGGAACAGCCAGGACTACCAATCCCCTGAACTGCTGCCAAGTTAGCTATGCAATCTTTTTGATCAGACAACATTCCTGAACGCATGACATCAAAACCAGCACAACACAACTGCTGCTCAGAGCAAATGCAACTCTCCATCTAAATACTCAGGGTCTTCCAGGCAACGGCCACAGCTATCACAATTACAAGCTCTTCTGCATTAGCTGACAATCTTTCCTTAGTATGCACCTCCTTACGGCAGTTCTAGTCTGCTCGAACCTGCCAGAGCTGGTTCACTTGCTTGGTATTGCTTCTTGCCCTGCTTCTTTTGGACTCAGAGTGTTCCAGATATGCTAGGCGTAAACACTTGTGCTGTTGAACAAACATGATCACATTTTTCTATGCTCAAAAATGAAAGCTCCATCTCCCCATAATTTCTGTTGTGCCTCTTTTCAGTCTCTCTCCAGTCTTAAGACTACCTATGTCGTCATCTTTCAATCTCGAACACAGAGATCTCTCCAATCTTCAGGTGCCTGTAATTTCAGGTATATGGAAGCAGTTTAGGACTAGGTCAATTTTAAACAGCAACCTGTTGATACGATCCACAGCTTTGTACTCACCCCGTTTCTGAGCTGATAAAGGTACCTGCCATGTCAACAAGTAGAAAAGAGCAGCCCTGCAGAAGCAGGGGTTCTGTACATTCTTCACACCAGTACGTGTACTGTCTGGCAAGAAGTGCCAGAAGCCCAAACGAAAACAGCATATTATGACTGCTGCTTCCTGAGGGCTTGCTCCTGCCTTGGAAGATATACTTCATCTGTGACAGGACATCAAGTACCACCTTTTGAAAAAGCTAAGAGAACTCCTGCTCCATCTTCCTCACTAGCATTCAGTGAGATCCTGTCCCCAAAGTCCATGTAGAAGAAGGGCCACTATTTGTTCAGAAACTGAAGTAAACCAGCTGTCTGTCTCTGGCAGTACTGGTGTTGATTAGAACTTGATGACTCATGAGCAGATGATACATTCCAAGCTATAAATGGTTCTTGAGTTTTGTGGTGCTCAGGAGGCACGAATATCATATGAACAAGTTAGCAGCAATGAAACAGCTCTTCTGCGGTGCTTAAAGAAATGAAGTAGCTTCTTTTATCATGAAGAAAAAGATGCAGAAAGTCAAAACACACTGCTATAGTCAGAATTCATATAGCAGTTATCCTCCACCCTTAACCTTATGCACTTCCTTCCTTTCCAAGCAAACACTGTGCCGGGTGCCTGCAGAGTTACTCCATACACATAGTAAGATTGTAACTTAAAGAACCAAACTGAATGGCATCACTGAAAAGCTTGGCTGCCACTTCTGCACAGCAAAGCAGAGCAGGTAGAAAAGTAGAGCAATACAGTGTGCACACAAGGCATACAGAGCCAAACAACTATTTGAAAAGAAACTTACTTGTACCATCCCTGCTTCCAAGTAAACATTGCCAAGGACTGTTTGGCCCCAGTACTTCACCTGGGATGCTGCATGAGTATCCCTAGCTCCAAGGGAGACGGTGCTGTTTTCTACATTCTGTAACATCAACCTAAATCTTCCATGAAGTGTGGTCCAGTCCTGACAGAAGACAATTCAGCTTCCTGTAACGTGAAATTCAAGCATGAACTGCCACATAAAGGCCAATACACCCTCCCTGCTTATACCTATGCTTGAGCACCCCCATCCCTGCCTGCCTCTTCAAGACATATGCCTTAGTGCAATCTGTCCCTGCTCTTCCAACTCCAAGATCCAGCTATTCTTGAAGAGAAAGATAAGTAAAAGACCTCTGAATAGCACTGGAACAAATAGTAATCATCTCTACTGTAAGGAGGTCAAAGAGAGTGGCAGTAAGGATTGGCTACCAAGGTCATCATCCCTGGAGTTCTTTCTGAGCAGCAAAGGATCTAATCACATGTCAGAACTTAAAGCAGAAGAAAAGTGCCTGCCGCCATGTCCCAAAAATAGAATGCAAAAGTAAGAAGAGCAGTTTTGATGCAAGCACAAGGCAATAATGGAAGACAAGCAACAAAACCCTCCTCCGATTCATCCAGTCATCACCATCTTCACAAATTTATTCAGTCTTCAGGTACCCTGAACTTGGCAGTGCAACAAGTACCATGAATTTATGAGCTTGAAGGCACAGCAAGTAGTTGTTAATAAGCAATCCATTCTTATTCTATTTTACTATACATCCATTTGAAATCACAGGGTCTAGCCCAGCTGTGATTGATACCAAAGCGCTGAACTCACACATACTAAAGCTAAGACTAGACTGTATGGTAGCACACCACAGCTTCTACACTTCTAGTATTTCAAATACTGTATTAAAACTACATCATCCGAAAATGAAATGTTATGATTCTGCTATGTTCAGGTGTGGGATGCTGTACCTCTTTTTAACCTTAAGCTATGTTTATTTTAGCATCATGCAGAGCAGGGGGTGTGTGGGAAATCAACAAAAGCCATAAACCTGCCTCTTCCTCACATTCAAGATCTGATCTGTGCACAAACTGTTTACTATCCAGGTCTCCATCTGCACTTCTGGCAGTACAGTGACTTCGAAGGTACATAAGCGTGAACATAAAAGCAGTTAAACACAGGCAGTTTCTCTATCGCCAAGCATAATACGCAGAAGCCAAAACAGCAGCCCCGCCAGTTAGGTGAGCCGGAGTATTCTAGGTTTGGTTCACAGTTCTCCGCCATTTTAGAGTAGATATACCAACGTTACTTTTGAACGAGGTGATGATTAGCAAGTCCTGTTGCCCTTTCAACGACAGCCTTAACGACCACCATTTAAGCAACGTAGTATTAATTATTCGTTAGCGATATACAGGCCCCTTATTTCCAGACCGGACGGCAGCCAGGACTGCAACCCAGCGTTACTGCTGTTCTCGCAGATGACCATCTTTCTTCCTCCTCCCCGCCACCCAATACAGCTACGCCAGGGGAAGGGGGTGAGGATGCTTTTGCTTCAAGCCTAGGACGGCGGCAGGACGTGGGAAGCCTCAGCCCCCGCGCTCACCGCGGGATTCCGCCACCGGCACGCCACGACCACAAGGACCAAGACCCGACCCCCGCCCCGACC